CCGAAGTTGGTATATTCGCACACATTTTGAACTATTTGAGCTTTGGTGAGCAAAACTCTACTTTTGTCACCACGACCGATGTTTAAATACTTTTTAGAAGTTTAACATCACTATTTTAAATGTTGGTATTGTACGCTGGATTCCATAAATGTTTTTAAAGGAGGACCAAAGTCAGTTATGCCATTGGTCTTGCAATTTCACATCCTTATTAAAGAAAAACATTGCAAACTAAAAATAGTTAGTTAGTTAGTTAGTTGGGTTATCCTCATTGCACTCCGGACATGTCCATAGGTGCTCAGATCCTCCCCTCAGTATGAACCCCAACGTCCGATGGCTAATAGTACCAGTTCAAACTAAAAATAAAGAATACTGAATGTTGAATTGAGAATAGATATCATAGCACTTGGGACACTCTCATAAGCACCCCGTCTCCGTTTTTAGCAGAAAATTAAGAGTTCTAATTCAATTCCGATGGTGTCAGTAACTGTCTGTACACCTGTCTGGCCATTCCCTTGAGTGTTAAGCATCGGTCAGATCCCGTAGTAACTTCCCACAGCGCCATTCTCCTCAGGCCATAATGATCTATTTGTGCGTCTGCATTGTTCACTCGCACCCAGAGGGCCCTCACACCATCTAGCTTGTCATATATTAATTCACCAACAAGTTGTGCAGAACAGGCTAGTCTATGTGCCTGCTCGTTTCCAACACACCGGGATTTCCTAGAGAAAATATAAAAAGGATGCTTACTACCTGGGACTTCTGAAGTGATGTCTCCACCTTTCTCAGCATACTCTGTGAGGCAGTTACAATCATGACATGTGTGTAATGCTGATTCTCAAGCAAGCGGAAAGCGGCAGTGACCACCTCCACCCTCAAAATTTGATCCTCTTTCAGCTGCCCGGAGGCCTGCTATATCGAAGAAGGTTCCTTAGCTGTCTTATATGGTTTCTTTTTATTTGTGGTGTGTAGTCACACCTGATATTACGGTTGTTTGCTTCCTTGCTGTGCTGCGGTAATTGTGGTTTTTGGTTCTGGTGTGATCCAGATCTCTTTGTGATGATATCGACGGGTACTAGCTGACTGTTGCTGGTGCTTGGCTTGCCGCGTGCTGGTTGCTGTGCTGGTGCCCTGTTGCTGCTCGGTTGCCGATCTGTAAGCCGCCGGAAAGAGCCAAACATCGGATCACGTCGTCATGAACAATGTTCCTTTTCAGGACAACCAGGGCCGTCACAATCTGTTGTTGTGATCAGCCCGTTTTATTTTTTTTTTTTTTTCACGGAGTGTGGAGAAGTAGTGGAAGTAAGATAGACTGCAAATGAGAGATCAAATTTGCTCGAATGTGCCAGGAAATGTGATAGTTAGGTCGGGAGAATGAGATTGACAGATAGAGGTAGGATCCACCCTGGTCGGCTGAGGTCACTTGGTCTGAAATAAAAGTGAAAGGCATTTGTTAAAATACACGTGGGGTGGGGTGGGGTGGCATGATGGTGACTGGAATTCCCAAGTGCTGGTCCCCTTAGGTGCAATGCCCTCGGCTTATCTGCTTCGGAGCGTCGGGTGGCCTGTGGTAATTTCCGTGGTCTTCTTTTTCCTGAAAATAAACTAGGTTAAAATTTTTTGTTAGCTCTGTGGTTATTACATGGTTATTTACCAGAGGGGCGGAGCAGGTGGGTGTGGCTCCGGTACGACGACTGTCTCTCCGGTTGGCGGTTGTTTGTGTTGGGCTGTCCGTAAAGATGGCGGCTTGTTTGGTGGGCTCCTCCTGTGGCTCTTAGAATTGGCGGTAGCCTTTTCTATTCGGTGTGCCATTTTTCGTCTGCTTTGTCTTTGGCGCCCGGAGCTGGTTTACGGCTTTGTTGATTACGTCATAGAAGTTCATAACTTTGTCGTACCTTTCTTTTTCTTCTGGTGTTTTGTCTGTCTTATCGAGCTCTTCCTGATTGAATTTGATATAGTAGCGGCCGCAATCGTCGTTATACACCAGCTTGTGCGGGTTAACTTGCTCGTTGAAATCTTCAAGCATCGCTTAAAGGTCGGCATCGCAAGTTACAATGGCTGCCGCATTCTGCCTACATCGTGGGGTGGCTGGCTGCCTGGCAGGTGTTTCATTTTTGGGTTCTTCGTTCCTAGCGGTGTTTGTCATCTGTGCCTGGTGCTGCACCATTACCGCTTCGGTAACTGTGCCTTTGTCGGCCTTGCTGGGGCTTGGTTGCTTTGCAACTTTATGGAGGCCTCTCTTTCTTTCTCTAGCAGGGCACGCTCCGTTCTTGCCGCCAGCACTGCGGCTTCTGCTTTTGCCTGGATCATAAGGGTGACTTCTTTATAAGTGCTCTCTCGGGCTTCCTTAAGTACTTCGGTTTATTTTCTTCTCTCCTCCCTTTCTTCTTGTCGGCGGGTCTCGTCTGCTGCTTTTTCTGCTTGGAGGTTTTGTGTCATTTCTATCAGGTTTTCCTGCATTTGTGCAGCCTCTGCCAGCCATTTTGTTTGCTGCGAGACTTGTTCTTGTCTGTCTTCTTTCAAGGTTTTTATTTCATCTCGCATCTGCGAAATCAGGTCTAGCAACTGGGTTCTGTCAGTGGTGGTGTCGGTAGCGTCAGACTTTTATTTGTGGAGAGCTCTAATTTCGGCTAAAATTTCAGAAATTTCAGAGATTTAAAGCAAGATTTCAGGGTCCTTTGTGGCTGTGATCGCCTTGTCGGTTCGTTTCTCTGATGTGCTATGTGCTGACTTCCAACTTGGTTGCTTTGGTGTTACTGAAGACCTGGGTGCCACGTATCTCTTTCTATCTGTTTCGTGGGCGGTTTTTAGTGACTTCTTGCACTGCTGGAGATACGGGCAGCCCATGTATCTCGCGCCGTGTGCACCAGAACAGTTGGAGCACTTGCGGTTGCTGTTCGGCTTCTTGAAATTAGTGTCTATTTTAGCCAGCGGGCACTCCTTGAATTCGTGCGCACCAGAACAGTATCTGCACGAAAGGCTGCTGCGGCAGGCCTAAGCTGTATGCCACGCCCTATTGCAGCGCGAGCACTGCATGATGTCCGGTGTGCTGGTCTCAGGCTGCCGCTGCTTTCGTAAGCGAGAGGGTCCTTGCGTCGCTACCGAGGCGGCATCAGGCGCCACTGAAAGGTCGGCTCCCGGGGGTGTTTCAGTCGTTATGGACACAGTTTCCATTTTCAACGGTAATTGTAAAAGTTCTCGAATTTATTTAGAGGTTAAACGCACGCCCTAGGTTTCGGTTTAAAAAAAGTTTATAATGTAGATTATAATTACCTAGGGCGTTGTTCCTTCCTCTGGTGATACTTGGCTACACTGGTCACCGGTGTAGATCTTTGTTGCTGGTAGTTGTCGTTGTCTAGATGCACACACAGGCTGCTAATGACCCACACGCAGCCGACTCCGATAGTTTAGTCCAGACAGACTCAGCCGAATATCAAGCGAAACTATCCAGTGGCTAGCTATCGAAAAACAGGCAACGAATGGATAGTTAGCTGGCGACGTGATCAGGCGAGGCGGGCTTGGGCGTTCAACGTTTTGCTCGAGCGAAAGCGGTCAGCGAACTGGGAAAGATTGATTGGAGATGGTGCACAAGGCAACAAGGAGCAGAGCTTTCAATGCTGAGCACAGCACAGAACAAGGCCTTTTTATGGACACCGAGACTCCTTGAGCAGCCAGATTTTTTTTCGCATGTACAATCAAACTAAAATTGTTAGCCTGTTGTCGCTCTGTAACATCAGATATAGAGAATTGACGGGATTAACAGAGCACAATCTAAGGGCCTATCTATTTCTGTTACTTGATTAAGGGCCTATCTAGGGTATTTTGTGCTTGTGGTAGGGCGTCATAATTTTTTTTTGCGCTTTGCATTAGCGATTGCTCAGTTTTTGGGCTACATTTAAAAACTTTGTAGTGCATAATTAGGAATCTGTTTAATGCAAGTAAAATTCAAACGACAATATATATATATATATATATATATATATATATATATATATATATATATATATATATATATATATATATATATATATATTATATATATGAGTTCACAGCTATACAATGTTGATAAATATAATTTGCGCAGTGTAAACTCTTTGAAAATTGTTTACAAATAAAAAAAAACTAAAACAAAACTATTGAAATAATACTAATAACAATAGGCTATTATTGTACATTTTGTGTGTGCTCCTTCCAGATGAGACGCTGCCACTTAAAAAATATGAGTTTTTTGGCAGCCCCTTTAAGTGGCCCAATCACATCTTTCCTACAACGGCCAGCTACAGATTTATTAGAGAAGGGAGTGGTCCTACCTACCATGCCCTACCAGTGGCAAGTTCAACCATCTAATGCTGAAACACACACACACTAAAGCACACCGGAAAAACGTTGGCTAACAATGTCAAAAAAAATGTGCAACTGAAAATCAATTTTTTTTTTCTTAGTATTAAAACGTATTTTTAGTATTTTGGCATAACCTCACACACAGATTTTTTTTTCGATCAACAGTATTTGAAAAAAATTTCTCTTCTTTGAAGACTTCAATAGTATCAGCCAATATATCAGCTTTGTAACAAACTGAGAGGGGGGAAATGGAACAACTATGATGTAATGGATAAATCATTTCAATTCTGATCAAAGGGTCAGCTATATATATATATATATATATATATATATATATATATATATATATATATATATATATACGTACACACATGGTTTTAGGGTCGTTTTTACGCTTTTTAATAAAAAAAAATTGGATAATTTATTTAATATTTCCACACACACACACACGAGCGCGCGCGAATACAATTTTCATATTAAAATACATAATTTCGACAGCCCTGTCTGGTTTACCCAGAAAACCATGACGTATTCCACCAAACCGGAACATAAGCCGTGTACTTGAGAGACGATCAGTTCAGCCATCATAACAATTGTGGGTGTTTGAGTGACATCATTGACTTCATTTGCTTTCTCTAAGTGTTGTTTCCCAAACTGAAAACATGAAACAGAGTGTGCACATGCCCGGTGTCGATCCTAGATCGTTCCGCTGCTGTCTATGTTGCCATGTCAAGACAGGGACCCTGATTTATGGCGTGTTTATTGCGGTAAGTTCGTGGACTCTTTCCAGTTCTGAAAATAAATATTATTATTATGCAAGCAAACAATGGCTTTTGGAAAAATTTTTACAATGTCTCAATGTCGTGTTAATGATAAGGTGAGGGTGAGTTTCAATGCAGTCTCAGTCTCATCGCTCAGCCCGGCCAACTCCAACATGCTGACTATAATTGTGAAATGTTCGTTATAAGTTCCTTTCCTGGGGTGAAGCGAAGCAATTTATTTTATTTGGCGACCATTTTCGTTTCCCTGTCTAATCATCAGTCATGTGACATTTTATTTTTAACTCTTAGGGTAATGTACAAAAACAGTATCATGCAATCCTGATGTTTTAAGACTTAGTATTTTTAAATGTTGGTTGCTAATGCTTACTTAGTGACTGGTTATTTTTAGGCCTATTTTACCATTAGTTTACAATACATTTTTAGTTATTAATTAGTGGCCAAAATACCATTAAATAAGGGGGGGGGGGGAGAAGCACATGATACATCACCAGGACTAAGAAAAAAAAATTCATCTGTTCCGAAATTTGATAGTGATTCCGAAAAAATTTTTTTTTTTAAATTAATTAATTAATATAAATATTCAATAAGCGACCTAGTTCTAATTTGGAGCTTGACATGTGCTTATGTCTTTAGCACATTTAAAGCTTTTTTATTTTTCCAATGAACTTACCAAGGGAAAAAAAAAATAAAGACAGTTATAAAGTTTATAAGAACATATTGAGTAATGATTATGATAAATGGCGGCCATTTTGAATAATTATTAGTCAATTATGATTTGATATTGCACAATTACTAAAAATTTCATCTTTATTCAGTTAGAGCTTGTTGTCCTGAATCCAAAAATATATGGTTTCTAGGGTTTTTTTTAAATACTTTATAAGTAAAAGCACGTTTTAAACACTCCTCTAAGACTTACGATTTTAAGGCGACAAGTTTTATCTCACTTTTATTTTTTCTTCTTTGTTCATTTTTTCCACAAAAACTTCAATAACTTGGCTTAGAATTGACATACAGGCATGAAAGAGGTACCGTTGGAAAGTGCTTTTCAATATGTATGCAGCTGTACTGGTTTTATAAGGGAAAAATGATTTTGAAAATTTGACTAAAGTGACTAATTATTAAATAGCTGTTTTAGTTTAAAAATTCACTGCCCAGACATCCTTACTACATCAGCCCATCGTCATCATCTCATCTCACTCAAAATTCTACTCATCATCTTTAAAAAAAACAACTCCACCCCCTAGATTTTAGCCTTAAAGATTAACACCTAATGATTATGGAGTCACTATACAGGTTATAAATGTAGAAATACTGAAAATGAAATACCTACTATTCTTGCCGCTCACGCGGCATGGATTGGCGCTAAACTAGATGGCTAGGACTCACGTGCAAAGCTGCAGGGGATGCGGAAGCTGCTGCTCGTGAGTCCCAGCCATCTAGTTTAGCCCCAATCCACTTGGTGTGGGGGCTACTCTCGGCGGTGGCGGTAGTCACCGAAAAACCGCAAATTAAGTTGCCGGAAGTGCGCAATTGATATGTGACTGAGGCTCTGTTAGGATGTTTCTGCGGCCGCCATCTTTTGTGCCCGTTATTCGGAGGATAGCCCATTTATGGCAAAAGTTGTGTCACTTAATGTCATACATTGTATGCTGAAAGTGAATGATAATGTTAATAGTATCCTGTTCAACCCTTTCAGCAATATTGTGATGTAAAGTGTTCGTTGTCTTTCAAATGTATACTTATTAGTTTACTTTTGCTTTACCTGCTCACACACAACAGTAGTAATTATTTGGCTGCAGTCAGATCTGTGAGAAGTAAGCAGTAGTCTTCTCTACTAGTTATCACCAATTTACTAATATCTTCATGTTCTTTCTGATTTGTACAGATAAAAAGCCAAGGCTGTCCTTCAATCTACCCCCCCCCCCCTCTCCATATTATGGTGGCAAAATATCCTAACAGGGCCTCAGTCGTGTGTAAAATGCAGACTTCCTCCGACGAACACATCGCTGCAAAACTAGGATTACTTGACAATTTCAAGACACACAACACTGCAGATTATAATAGCAACCGTTGACAATTTCTAGCGTTTTTGCAGACGATAATAGCGATCCTTGACAATTTCGAGACACGCAAAATAACAGATGATAATAGCGACATGGCGGGGAGACCGCGCGCTCCGATGCAGATTAGCGTCGTCCTCACACTTTTTGGCATGCGCAAAACGTGGTTAAAACTCACAGCTGACAGTATCCTCCAGATGGGGACCTAAGCTAGATGCCTGGGACTCACGAGCAAATAAATTGAAGGAAGTTGAAGGTAGTGGTGCGGGGATACTGTCGGCCGTGCGGCATAGTCGCAGAAACAGGTTCTTATGCTGAGCTCCTGTTAGAGCATTTGTTTGCTCTCGATAATATTGGCCCGTTATTCGTAGCCGGTCCTGGTCTCCCGCGATTTGTTCCTCAGCAGGAACTCCATATTTTGCATATGGTATTTGTTTGTCTGCCATAATATGGGGGGGGGGGGGAGATTGAAGGAAAGCCAAGGTAAGATTGAGTTAGAAACCAAAATCAGTGCACTTGGGACATTCCCCTGAGTGGACCGTTCTTATTCTAGTGGTACCAGTAGCCGTCTGATTATATTCCCGTTGTGCCTTTCCTCTGAGTGATAAGTGTTGGCCAGATCCACGGCTCCACCCATTACTGTACTATTGTTTCCAGACAATTACATAGCAAAATCTTTGATAGGCTTATGATTAGGCGTGTTTCCTTCAAAGTCAGAGTACATCTGCCTGAGAGTCAAGGAACCAACAGTCTGCATACAAATATGCCTGATGATTATTGTGTTAGTGGAATCATAAATGAAGTTATGTACAAATGGCTAATTGATCTTTGTCGCCTCATAGGTGTCACTCAGAAGTGCTGATAGTTAAGGAAGTAATTAAGAAGTTCAAGCTTCTTTTGTGTAAACACTTCACCTAATGGTCATATAGTTTTTTTTTTTTTTGGGGGGGGGGGGGGGGTCACTTGGAGACTTGTGTTGATGTCAATCTGTTGATTTGTTTCAGTTTGCCCACATTATTTTGTTGGGTTTGCTTGTCTTTGCTGCAATCCACCCGGATGTTCTCATGCCACAAAACCAACCTCATTATGATGGAATTGTTGTGCAGACAGAAAGTGGCAACATCTTTCAGACTTTTGAGCAGCCTGCCAGGCAGCACATCACCAAAGGTGGTACCAGTTTCTTTTACATTGTGTTTGTGGTATCTAAATTATGGGTTCTTTTCTTTTAATTGACCTCATCTTATGCACTCTACCCCCTTCTCTCCTCCCCCCCCCCCCCCCCCCCCCCCAAAGAAAGGGTAAACTAAAAGAAAACTACCAAATTATGTATTTTGGAAAAATAAATAACCATCACGTGTATACAGGATTGACACTTGGAATACATTTAACAAATTAAGGGGTAATATGAGGGTAATAAGTACAGTAGCAGGAAATAAACATCAGCTTAAAGATAGCCTACACAATTGTGGCTTTACCTAAAGTGCTTGTCATAACCTATGTTGAAAGATGTTGCAGGGAGAAGGATGAAAAGAAGTAAAGAAACAGCAGGAGAAAGAGAAGTACCATGCATATTTTTATTATAGGAGTCATTCATATCAGCTTGATATCCAAATTTAGTTGCTTCTGAAGGAAACAATCTACCATCTTTTTGTTTCATTAATGAGGCGTTAAAAATCAGAGTCTGATGCCATGTGACAGTCTGTAGTATGGAGTATTAGAATGTTTAAGGCATCAGATAAGGATAATATTTAACAGTTAAAAACTACATACAATTGAGCAGGAATTAGATAAATGGGGAGCTGTGAAGATTACAGTTAGGTTAGTTAGCACTACAAAATTAATGAGCAGTGGAAGCATGTAATTCTCTGATTGGGATCTAATACGCCATTGGAAGGGGGTGGGGGGGGGGATAAATTCCCTGCCCCTTAATAAATATAATTAGAGTGCAACTAATTAAGGATTTGTTAAAATCGAATGTGTTGGGCTAAACGGAACAAACATTACAGCCTAGCTGTAAACCTCAACACAATCTGCCAACTAACCTTTTAAGGCAAATGTAGAACAAGAATCATGTAATCAGAGATAGAACTTGATGGTTATTGACTTCTTTCCTGTCTTGTGAATATTTTACATTCTCACATATTAGCATAAAGAGGCTTCAAGAATGTTTATCAGTGTTGACTTATTGACATCTCCTTTTGTTCAGTCCTCAGTTATTGACACATTTAGTTGGTCTACAGTTATTGACATCTCAGAAATCTGGGCTTCCGCTGCTGTTATTGTAAAACACTGATTTCAGTGACCTGTTGTTTTTGGTCCTTAACCACAAAACAGCAGTCTAATGTTGGCTGGAATGTCTGAACAGAGAAAGGGAGGGGGAGAATGAGAGATGGGATGAGCAAGACAAAGAGATAAAGAAGGTAAAGAGGTAAAAAAAAAGATAGAAATATGTTTGGGGTGAGAGTGGTAGAGAATAAATTGACTAATTAGTTAAGATGCACCTTTCATAGTTTCCTGCAGTATTTTTAAATAAATTGTGAACACTTTCTTACTGTAAGCCTAGTATCAATGAATGCCAAACTAGAAGTCATGGTGCCCATTTTCTGTTTCTCCTTCAGAAATATATTTTTAGCTTTTAATTCATGTTAATATTCTATAATTTGAAAAGATGTTGTGTTGTTTCTAATCCATTAATGTATTCTTATTGAGAACTGACATGTCTTATGTTTGGTAAATTTGTTCATTTACAGACAACCTGTGTGTGATGTTTGGGATTTCTCTGGTCTGCTTTGTATCAACCTTGGCTCTCATTTATGGAATTGCAAGAGTAAGTTGATTGACTTACTTTTCCTCTTTTAGCCCGTGGTGTAGAGTATCTAAAAAGTCTATCTCACCCATCAGTTGCCTAGCCGAGGACATTGAGATGCCTTATGAGGATGTAATCCTGGGTTCTTATGTAATAGGTGCTCAACTAAAGAACCATTGTCTGTCTGCTATAGTCCACATGGTGTAGTCAGAATGCAACACTTTTGCCTTCATCATTTTGAAGCCTGCATCGTGTATTCTGCAAGTCACACGCTTGATTTTAGTATACATATACACATATTTTACATAATGTGCAGTATTTAACTATCCTTATCCAACGTGTACAAAGGTAGCATGACCAGTCCTAAACAGTAACTTTCCTATGTGTGTTCCTGAGCACCATTGTAGAGGAGACAATAAACACATCACCTTCCTGACAAGGATGTTGTAGAAGTCTTCTTCGTCTTCGGTTTCACCAGCCGTAAACTCTGGCGGAAAGTTCTAGCTGTTCATCCACTTCTGGACTGCAGTCCTGTTCCAGAACCTGAGTGTTGCGTGTGCATCTGTTTGACAGATCTGACTAATTTGTATGCAGACTGTTGGTTCCTTGCCTCTCAGGCAGATGCACTCCGATTTCGAAGGAAGCTCCCAATTAGTCGACTCTTATGACATGCTTTTGGGCATGCAGTGGGTCTGTTCTTGTTTTCCCTATAATAGGGCCGTGGGAGCACATCTGCCTGAGAGTCAGGGAACCAGAAGTCTGCATACAAATAAGCCTGATCTGTAAAATGTGATGTGGGTGCACAACTGAAGTTCAGGAACAACAGTAAAATGGAAAACAACCAGAATGCTTAACCAGTAAATGTAGAGAAATATAAGAGCATTGACTTTTTCCGTCAGTATTAGCCTGCCAGGACAGGGTTCAGTCTAAGAACATGTAGGATTGTGTATGTTTTTTCTTCTGACCAGTGGGGTCAATCCAGCCTGATGAAAGGGATGCTCGACCATTTTCAGATTGACTGTGATTTGTCTGAGAAGGTAGCCGACCACCGAGCCTTGAATATCATGGCCTGAAATATGTGAATGTCTTATTTTCCACACGCTGACTGTAGCAGCTGCTAAACGATTATCTTTAACTTTGATTAATCTTAAAATTTTCTGATGTGGGTTCTGGATCCCCACTTTGTGAGGAGGGGGGGGGGGGGGGGTAAATATAATAGGCTTACTGCCCCCCTCTCCAACATGCATGTTTGTAAAATTCAATTTCAAGTTTTATTTTCCTCGGGTGGTGTAATTGAGCCTAATTACAGCATAGCTGTGATATTTGTGCCTTTTAGCAGACACATCTGGCTTCATCCGGCATTAGCTCAATCAGGTTAGAGTTCCCATAAAAGTGACTAATTAGGGATGATCCTTCTAAGCCAGAGTGCATCTGAGATGCAAGCAACCTGCAGTCTGCATATAGATAAGCCAGGTCTGTAAAACATATATGTACACAGAACTGAAGTTCTGGAACAAGACTGAAGTCCAAGAGTAGATGAAGAACCAGAAATTTCTGCCGAAGTTTACAGCCAGTGAGCAGAAGAAGAAGAAGATCAAAACATTAAAATACAGATTTTATGTCAGGTAATGTTTACACAATTTCAGATTTCATTATTTTACTAAATCATGAAATATACAGATATGCAAATGACAGTTGATTGAGGATATGCAGTATAAGATGTAGATAGATCTCAGTTGTACACTTGTCTGTCACAGAACCTGGCCAGCTACCTGATGCCCTTCTTCTGCCTGCAAGTGTTTGACTTCTGCCTTAGCTGTCTAACAGTGGTTGGCTGCTTCACTTATGCTCCCAATATTAAACAGTGGATTCATGACCAGAACCTGGTAAGCATGGAGCTCTGTTTATAATCACACTTTTGTGTGTGTGTAATTGACTTCAGTTGTTTAATGTAATTGATTTTGTACCTAATCCTTTGGTTACCTAGTGCAGATGTTTTGAAGCACCCTGAGGATTGTTGCTGGAGCTATGCAGTTTGTGCTTTGCTTTGTGCAATGCTAATGTTGAGGACCAGCATCTTTGTGGAGAGGCATCTAGCCGTGAGATAAAGCCTCTCAGCTTTAAACATAATTTCACTGTATGTTTACGTCAGTCAGTCAATTAGGTGTCATCTCCACAATAAAGGTTGGCTGCAAGGAATCTCTGACATGCTCTGTCTTTCACCCTGTATGTATAATCTCTCAGGCTGCAGTTTATCTCTTAATGGTATCCTCTCACTTGTATCACTGCCTGCCTCTAGCTAGATTGCCTTTAACTCTTCCATCCAGTGTTTTTATAAAAGTGTTGTTTTTATGTATTTCATAAGTATCTCATGTCTTTTTTTTTCAGCTACTCTTTTTTCATTTCTAGATTCTTTAGGTTCGTCAAATTCATCCTGTTTAATTTCAGTGTGTTGCAAAAATGTATCACCTCTTCTCTGTAGCAGTATAGCTAAACCCAGTTTTGTTTTTTCCATTTACTCAGCCACATCCCTTCTTCCCCATTAATTCAGTCACACCTCTTCTCCATTCCAATCTAATTCAGACTTGCATTTGTTTTTGTTTTTTCCCCATTTGTTTAGCCATACCATTTCTTTTGAGTTCCTGCAGTTTATTCAGCCACCCCACTGTGCTATCAGCACAGTATTTACTACATACTGCTACAGCATTAAAAAAACATTAATTAAATACTGGCACAGATTATTGAAGTAACTGACCCAGCATTAACTTAAATGCCGACCTGCATTAATTAACTAAATACTGACACAACATGAACCAAATACAGACAAAAAATTAACTACATACTGTCACAGCAAACATTTTGCAGTTAATTTTTAAAGTCAGTGTCAGAGCACTAACCTTTCATCACCATCATGAGACCTGCTGCATGAGGGTGATAAAAATATGCTGATATGTTTTTGTTAGTTGTCTGTTATTTGTGTTATCTTACATTCAGCTGTGTGGGTGTATCATACTTAGTATAGTTGAACAGCTCAACTCAGTTCGGGGTATCCAAGTGTATTTTTGTTCAGTGTATAGCTAGTTAGTCAGTCAACAGATTATCCTCATTGCATATTAAACACTTCACACCATTATTGCTCGGATCCTCTCCTCAGTAAATCCCACAGTGTAGCAGCTGTTGACACCAGTTCTGTGTTGGTTTCTTATTCTTCTTTTGCTTCCTGTTGTCTGCTGTTGTCTGGCTACACACCTTTTAACATGTTGTTCTTGCAGTCTGGTCATGGTTGCAGATTCAGTTATTACTTGGTTCTCACAAATGTCTTACTTCTCATAGAGCATTCAATATATCAGACTAGAGTATTCTGTCTTCAAGTGTATTCTCTTATCTGGGGTATTCTGCATTCATTGTAACTCTAGTGCTTAGGGTATCCAACATTCAGTTGTATTCTACTGCCTGTTATCCTTGATTTAATTGTATTATATGTGCAAATGATATCATGTGTGCATCAAGCTTTAATTATGGGCAGTTGATTATGTGAATGAAAATTAAGATATATTTTAAAAGGCTGCTGCATATTTTATGTTGCTGGAAAACTATCCCAGAGTTGGCTATCTATAGAAATATGGTTTGTAACATTTCAGGAAAACTATCGCAGAGTTGACTAACTATATAAAACAGATTAACATTGCAGGAAAACTATCCTATTTTTGAACAACTAAATAAATCTGGTTGTTAACATTGCAGGAAAACTATCCTGGAGTTGACCATCTAATGACTCTGGATTCTGACTATCTGATGCTGCTGTTTGTGACCCTGCTGATCCTTGTTTTGTCAGTCAAGGTAATATTGCACCATGTCACGTAAACTGGTTTATGAAACATGCTTTTAGAAAAAACTTACTTGACAACTGTCAGTCTAGAACTGATAAATCACTCAAATAATCAACTGTTTAAGCATGTTTCTAAAAATAACATGCCAGACTAGGAGAACTACTGTGTCATTCAATGTCAGAGAACTAATGTATCAATTACCAGCATTAGAGCTGCAATCATACCTGCATGTGGGGTACCTACAGTCATATAATAGGTTTTCTTCTTACAAGCCATGCTGTTTGGTATTGATAATTATATCTGTCCACAGCCTTTTGTCTCATGTTCTTTCAGCCAGTTGCTCTGACAAAGGCAAATGCAGAGGAAGCAGAATGGGTTCCAGTAAATGGAAAAACTAAATGCAAATGTGTCGAGCAAGCATATTGTCAGTAATCGCTCAGTGGTGTGAAAAAATGCAGACGTGTAAAGCAAATTGTCAGTAATCACTCAGTGGTGTGAAATGTGTTCTGAAATGAATTCAGATAAAGAATATGATGTGGTTTTTCCCTGAAAGCTGACCAACCTGATAACTAAGCGGACAGACCAAGAGTGAAACAAAAACAACTCTCTTTAGTGCCTTTATTTACCACTTTATATTGTGGTGTCAGGGGCTGCCTGAATGGTTAAGAATGCAGAGCTATCATACGTGGAATTCTTGGTATTGTTAGGGATTTGTTTCTGTTAAAGGGAGGGGGGATCCTTACCTGCATAGTCTATAGCAGTAGCACTAGCTATGCAGCCCTGAATTCCTCAGGTTTATAAAGAACTCCCTGTCTATACCATGGGGGGGGGGAGGCTTTGAACTTGCGAGCATTTAGGGCTACGTGGCTAGTGTGGTTACCATGAACAGTTCAGGTTACATTGTGTATTTTTGCTGCGCACAGAAAAACAATGGATAACATCTTACTAAAAATGTGAACCTGAATCTCCAGCTTGAGTAGTTAAAACATTGACTCAGGTCCAAATCTTTACCAAGATGATTTCCATTAATTTTCTGTGTGCAGCAAAAAAAAATAAAAAATGTAACCTGAACAGTTCATGGTAGTTCATGTTTGGGTGGTGTAGACAGAGGTGCTTTGAGCCTGAGGTGATTTAGTTACTGCCATTGATTTTTGCATTATCAGCTAAAATATTCAAATTTGGTGAGTGACAATGATGACATAAATATTGCCAGGCTTATCTGATGGGGATGGTGTGGTCCTGCTACAAATACATCCAGATGCACGTGGCTTCCCGTAGTGTTGTGAGGGAGTACTCTGTCGATCCTGACTCCGAGGTAATGTGTGTTTCTTGTTTAGTAAAGTTTGTTTTGACATACTAACCTAACAGGTTCCTCTCTCCTGCCATCTTTTGAACACTGAGCTGTAATCTGTTTTCAAGTAGTTTTTGAAGTAAATCTGTTTTGTCAGATAAACAGTGCTAGCTCTGTCTTTTGTGAGCTTAACCAGGTTGTATATTTACTAAAGTGAAAAGGTTTAGTTGCATATTTTGTAAGATGAGCAGTTTTAAGGGTACGTTTTGTGAAATGTCTGAAATAAAAGTAGTGATGTCAAAACATGAAAACCACCAGTCTAGACTATCTTGAATCTTCAAATAGGAACATAACTATGCACATAACTTTGTTTAAGGTGTCTTTAAAAAAAAAGTGAAGAAGATAACATCAGCTTATTCCATCTGTGCCCATTTCCCCGAGGACCATGTTACAGGGACAGAGAAGACATCAATAAGGAATGTGATTTTTCTTTTGTGGTGTTTGGATAAAAATGGAAATAAGATGTCCCAAAAGGGCTGCAGGAGTGGTCAGATAAGATAAAATCAATGTCTGTTGTTGAGTAGGCCAAAAGAGCGAGAAGCAGTAGCTTTTATTTCCTTCGACATCCAGTGCAGTAGAAAAGGAAGTGGGGAAGAAGAAGATGTTTGTATGGGAACATAATGTTTTTATGTTTGTGTACCTTCATGCGTGTGCGCTCTTGATGAATGTAAGAATAAAAAAAATGTAATAGAAGTACGGCCCTCATAACATTAGGTAGAATTTTAGAGGATCTTGAATTTCCAGTCTGGGCAAATATCTTATACTGTGTATCCCTTGTAACACTATGTACACGTAACCAGAGTGGTCTAAGCCTGGTATGCTGAGAATGGAGACAAACATGCATGGTAACCTGGTAGCAGCAGAGCTACACTAATGCTACATTTTTTATTCTCTCTTACAATTTTCTCCATTTTGTTTTTCTGCTTTGCCTTTTAGATGTGAAGTACTCATTGAGTTGTGTCTAATCACTTGTTTTTCCATCAGATGCTTCTCCCTCCAAAGTATGAAGATGCAGTAAAGATTCCAGGCAACTACCCCCAGCCTCCTGTCTACAGCATGGAATAGGGCTCAGTGATGTTGGTACTGCAGCACGACTGACACCCAGCCTAGTCTTTGCTTGATCTCCAGGCTTCCACCAGTGCCATAAAGTCAGTCAGCTGCAGGGAGTACCAGCGTAACTTCTGTTCAGTAGATGTTCTCCATTTGATTATTCTGAGGATTTACAGTTTAACTAATATTTAATTATGATTTTCATCAATTGTCTACATCATTGCTGCTAGTTGATTTCCCTGCTGTTTCGTTTGTCGGATAGTTAATTGTTTAGCTTTCATTATCTGTGATGAATGCAAACAAACAGATTATCTGTACGATGAGTGTTAACAGTCAGTACATCTCAGATATTTGATTGTTAGCTTTCATTATCTGTCCAATGATCGTTACTGTCATTATTTGTCACACAGATGATTATAAACTGTCATCATCTGATAGATAGTTGATCAATGAATATCTCTCAGGTAGCTAATCCATGTTAACATCATTGAAAACACAATTCTGAATTGACAATAAAATAATAAAAACAGAATATTCCTGTTGCTTTGATTCTTACAATCATTGGCCAAATACTTTTGATTTAAATTTCTTTAATTGTAGTGTTTTTGAAAGCATTATGCAAATTTTGAAAATTGTTGCATGAAATTCTGTTATAACTAGGTGTCTGCCTAATGTTTTGTGTGCATATTTATTTGGCATATAATTGTTTTTCGTAGCCTAGCAGCCTTGTTTCTGAAATCATGACAACAGTGTGCTAGCAGAATAGGTTGTCTGTATCAAAATGCATTTTCTAAGATCATTCGTTTATAGTGGGATATGTCACCTTAGACAGCAGGTTGTATTGTTATTTTAAAATATCCACTATAGTTGATTGTAAGTTTTGGTTATCTGTCAGGTATTTATTTATTAGCTTCCATAATATATCAGATAGTTGATTGTTAGCTTTCATTATCTGTCAGATAGTTGATTGTTAGCATTCATTGTCTGTCAGATATTTATTTATCAGCTACCATAATATATCAGATAGTTGATTGTTAGCTTTTATTATCTGTCAGATGGCTGATTGCTGGCAGCATATGACTGATATTTTTTGTACTCAAATATCCATTACTTTGATTTTAATTGCTGTCTACACAAATACACAGTAATCTGGTGATCTTTAAGTGCACAGATATACTTGACAAGTTAGATTTGAAAGCAGGTACTAGTCGAAGCAGCAGGTGTCATGCCTACATGTATGATGTACAGTTGGTGTCATGCCTACATGTATGTATAGTTGGTGTCACGTCTACATGTATGTACAGTTGGTGTCACACCTACATGTATGTACAGTTGGTGTCACACGCCACAATGTAGGTACAGTTGGTGTCACACACCTACATGTATGTACAGTTGGTGTCACGCCTACATGTATGTACAGTTGGTGTCACGCCTACATGTATGTACAGTTGGTGTCATGCCTACATGTATACTTAGTTGGTGTAGGTCTTGTCACTATTGGGAATATATTTCTTTACATGTACAAATTGTTTCATGTACATATTTTTGGTTTTGGATGTAGAATTTCAATTAATTTCTTTCCTTGTCTTTGTGAATATTTACTGGCTGTGTTGATATTGAAGTATGACAGACACTTACATTTCTGTTTTTTTACAGAATATTCTTCATAGTGTAGAACAGAACATTAAACTCAGTGCACAGTTACATTTTGTGGCCACTTTTTAGGAAAAGAAAAACTTTATTAAATGTGATAACTAGAAAAATATGCGAAGGAAGAGAACTAGAGGCATACAAGAGGGGATCATTTTAACATGTACGGTTAAGGTGTCACAACACTAAATGTGGCTATTGATGACAGGATATGGAGATGGGTGGTACTTGAGGATGATGATGGTATACAAATGACACAAAATATTGTGCTCCTGTTTGAATTGTTCTAACAAAAATAAGTCACACCGCTACATTTGAATTTCTGGTGTTAATACATTTCTGCAGTTGTTTTTGTTAGCATTGCTTTGTGCTAGTTAGCTACTTTTGTTTTGTTTTACTGGTGGACCTGTTTCATGGTCTTTTCACATTATTTTTTTTAATAAACAAAACTCCAAGATGAACAAGAAGATGTTAATGGGCATGCAGATATGTAGTTACCTTGATACAGTAATGCATACACATAGACACATTCATATAGAAGGAACTTGTATATATAAAATGTTGTGCTAAGAGACTTGTCTATTTACACATACTTATAGGTGGAATTATGGAGCCAGACATAAAGACATATCCCTCACTTCTGTTCATGCCTGCTAAAATTGTTTCTAGTTTCTCATTTGGCAGCTGATCTCTCTGCAGAAACCTGAATTAAAAATTCACACCTTTAAGAGTCCTTTTTGGCTGAATATTGTAACTCTATTTCCACAAGGTCACTGTTGCTTGAATACAGCCCTAAATATTCCACAGTGGATTGCCATGATTTAGAAAGCACTTCTATGTTTCCTGTACAGTGCTGCTTGAATTTAACTGTCATGCAGCTTTCAGGTTTAGATATTGTTTTGTGATACATTTGCTTGTTTTGACACTTTATTTTTTTTTCCACAACATTCATGTTCGTTATGTTAATGTTGTAGAATGTGTCCATGATACCTCTTCTCTGCTTAGTAGGTTGTAGCTTTAATTTGCTTTCTTTCTTTGTTTCACATTCTGTTTTATTGTGATTCAAGTAATAGCTATTTTTCATCAAATAATGAAGCTATCAGCTAGCACCGTAATCTCTTCCTTCAAGTCGGGCTATCAGGTTTAAGCACAGCCCATCAGAACATTATAGTGCTGACTAGGATCCACATTTGTGGACCAAAGTTGATGAATGCCATAAATGTCCTAATTATCAACGATAAAAATTGACAGGGTAAGGGTCAAGGGCAAGTAATGACAACATAGTGTGGCTCTGTAGCCTAGAGGTAGAGAACACTTTCACTTGAAAGAGAAATCTCCATATATCAGGGCCCTATTTCTGCTGCAGATGGTTTAGAAACAGGCCCCTTTTCTAAGCTTTTAGATGGTGGTACAGGAGCCGCACCAGATAAGATATTAGTTTTTATTTTGTCAGAACCCCCCCCCCCCCCCCCCCCCCCCCTTCCCAACAAAAAACAGCAGTGGATGCAATATTCAAATATAATGGAGGTGGCAACATTCAGATAGAAATCATAACATAAGACAAGGTGATGATCAACAAGAATAAACACTAAATATCTGAGTTGTTTTCTCTACCTCTGTTTTACTGTCACTCTCATCTAAAACAGGAATGAAGGGAAATATAGCTCCTTGTTAGATAATATAATAAAAACACATATAGGTGTCTAAACCTAATACACTGTATACATCTTGTTATTGGTTATGGTTTGTTACTCAGTTCATATATTGTAGACAGTTATTATGGGTTTTCTTTAGTTGTTATGTCATCGGTTGTCTACCTGACTCCTTGGTAGGGAGATACGACTCATAGTCAGAAGTGCTGTGGATTTGCTCCCACTTAACTGTAACCTAAACAGCAGTTTGCATAAACTACATTACAGATGGGTAGGTTGTAAAAGGACACATGTGACTAAATTTACATGTACTGCAGTATTTCACATGTTGTCTAACTGCATTTCTCTTTGTAATGTTCACCAGCTGTAAACTCTGACAGAAAATTGTGGTTGTTGGTCCACTTCTGGGTTTTGGTCATCTTGTTCTAGAACATTATATTTGCATGCATATCCGTTTTACAGACCTGGCTTATTTGTATGCACATTGTTGGTTCCTCACCTCAGGTAGATCCACTTCAATTTTGAAGGAAGCACCACTAAATAGTCAGCATTTACAACATGCTGGGGGAGGACATGGCAGTGGGTCCCCCCACCCACTTCCTGGGGGCCAAGGAAACCCCACTGTGATAATTGCAGTTTGAAAATTTGAATGAAAAATCCTGTCTTCTGGCAGGCATTTTAAACTTTGCCTTGGCTACTAGGATAACTGATAAGGAAAGAATATATTTGGATGGATGACCCATGGCTCAAGCAGGTTGACAACCGCTGTGTTAATCATGTGACTTTCTTTTTATTTTTTTACGCTAATAAATAAACCTGTTTACATTTAGTGTTTAAAAAAACAGTTTCAAATTTAAAGACACGGAATCATTGATATTGCTGTCACTGTGTTTCACTGGTGGTTAAAATGATAAATATTGTAGGAGTTTCACATTTGGAGCACTGCTAGTTAAAATAAAGATTGTAGTAGTATGTTTGCATTTGTAGTACATTCATGAAAATTATTGTAGTGAATTTAGGGTTCAGCAATGAATTTGTGTAATCTTTTCTATTTAAAGCTGATCTTTAATTAAAGGGGTAGCTTGATTTTTGTTTTGGTATAAATTAAAGTGAACCATACACATCTTCAGTTAGTTTTGAGTGACATAATGTTCTGTTGTGTGTTTGCTATTTAGTGTGTAACAAAAATTTTAAATGGGTGCCATCTCCACAGTCAATGTCGGCTACTGTATATCAGTGCTGTCTTTGGGAATTATTTGTGAGGTCCATGTCTGTTCCATGGAGCAACTTTTGTACTGCTGTCTGAAAATTGTGAGTGGTTTTTAACTAATTTAACATCTTCACTAAGGTAGCCGCTGTGGTGTAATAGCTAGATGCTTGCCTGCAGACCAGAAGGTTGCAGGTTCAAGTTCTGGCGGAGCCAGACTCGCTTTGTTTTGTTTGTTTAAATTGCTGTCTGCCCAACCTCAAATGAATACCAGTTAAAGTCCTGGATAGTAAAGCCAATGACGTGGTGTTGACCATCTTACCAAGTAATAATATAGATCTAGCGCCACATGGAATAGTGTCCCTTTACTTTACTAATTGTCACTTTAAGCTATACACATTTGTCAACCACCTAAGACATTTTTGAAACCAAACTGGATGATCTTCAGACCACCTAGGATGTTTTTAAACCAAACTGGACATTTTTCAAACCAAACTTGACTATTT